AGAATCAATGGTCAGTTAATGCTAAATGCAAAAACTACAAAAATACATATGGGCAGCTGCATGAACTTAGAATTTATTTTAGGAAAACACATTGAAACATTTAAAAATATATATCAAACTATCTAATGAAATTATTAATAACATGCTGCCCAAATTTAAATTTTAGCACCAAAAGACTAGACTAAGTACAGCTACAACATTTAAGATTCGGAGATTATAAAACACCAGAACATAGGACAGGCATTATTAACAAATTATTTTAACAAAAGGAGGCTACTGGCTCCAAAAACAATAGCTTCTGGTTATTGAGGGCATACCACATGGGCCAGTCATGGAGCTAAACTAGTTATACTTTTTTAAAACTCTTACTACAACCCTATGGAAGGAGGCATCCACATTCCACAGATGGGAGACCAGGGGTCAGAGAGCACAGATGCCCGAGGCCGGACAGTAAATGCCGCAGCCTGGATTTGGAGTTGGATGTGTCTGGCTCCAAAGCCTGAGCCACTGTCCTATATTACCTCTCCAGAGACATATGGGACAAACTTCACTCTGACAGGAATGCCCTAGGACCAGCCCAATTTGATTTCTCACTGTGAAAGATCAAAGAGAAACTGTCCCACAGGCATTTTACAATTTGCAGCCTAAAATGTTTGTACTTCCAAAATGGAATAGTTTAGTAAATCAAAGGTATAGGTAGAAGGAAGAGAAGGCCAATCCTTTCTAGGTTAATTAATAAGCATTCTCCGTGTTGATTCAATAGTTCTACACAACCATTACCAAGAGTAATCAGCTAGAACTTCGTTTATCTGTGATACAACTTACACAACAAAATTTGAACTTTCCAAATAAGATACAACAAAGTAAGAAACCTTTCAAAAACAACATTATGTACCCCTAGACATTCAATTGAAAATTTCAGAAACAGTGCTGTTATTCTACACATTCAAATCAACAGATTTTTAAATATTACTTACCTGTGATTAAACTTATGACCAAAGGAAATCCAATCCTTTTCAATTAATACCTACACAAGAAAGAATATAAATATCACGGAGAGAAGCAAATGAGGAAAAATAAGAGACCACTACCAATAATGTGGAAGAATTCAGAGGTACTCGCAGCTGAAGTCACTATCCGCAGGTAACCTGTAAATGAATGAGCGTGCGTTATCTACCAATGTAGAGGTACAAATGGGAAGGGCAGGGCTGAAGTTCATCCGTAGGAAAAATACACGGGAATGGATGTGCGAGAACGCACCACCACACACTGAGGGCTTCCTATGTGCCAGGCACTGTTGATCTTGCTTTCTCTGTGATCTCATCTGATTGTGGGATGGGTACCATCATTCTCATTTTACAGAAGGGGAGACGGAAGCGCAGAGAGGTTAAATATTCACCTGAGATCACACGCCTTGGAAGCGGTAGACGCCGCTTCATAGCCCAAACCCCATCTCTTGGCCAATATGTGATGCTGTATCTCAGTATAATGTAAAATACCAACCTTTTTACAAAAAACAATTAGGAATGTTTTCCAGTGGTCGTTCCTACACATTAGAAGAATTCTAAAATGATGGGGTTTAGGAGCATATTAGAAGTTTCAGCCCTGGAATTGGGGTTAACACGAATGTATAGTTTGGAACAGTCTAGATTTTTTAAAAATGTTCAATCAAATAATATGAAATAGTCCTGTCAATATCACCAGTGCTCTAAAGTGGCCAGAGGTTTCCCCTAAAAACAAGATCAGCTGGTTGAAGTCTGCCCTTGACGACTCAAAAGGCATTTTCTTGGGGTTCTGAGTGTAATGGTTTTAATGGGGCACAATTAGAATGAGTCATGGCAGAGAAGGATGTGTACAGGAGAGGAGCCTCGTGGCAGCATGTACCTGGGAACCCCTCACTCTCCAAATGTAAGTGAAGGAATCCCGCCCTCCCGACCTCAGACCTGGAGGGGACTGAAGCAGGAATATCACTCTGAAGTCTCAGTGCTATCACAGGTATTTGGAAGTTACAGACACTCCCAAAAAAGAGTGGGAAATGCCCAAGAGAGGAAGCCTGCCTTTCTCTCCTTTCCCAGGGTGTCCGTTGACATTAAAGGAGATCTAGCAGTAAAGGTGTTCCCTTAGGGCTCTTTGTCAGCATCTACCCCAGGCATGGAGTCGGGATTCACTGAAGCACTTTCTATCAAATCATGGCTAAGAGGCTGATTCATTTTTAAAGAAATTATACCCAGCTTAGCCAGATACACCATCCCAGGCAACTACGCAAGTATTCAGTAGTTGGAAGCAACATGTCACATTTGGACACACACCCAAAAGGTTCAAATTCTAGGAGAGGATATACTCAGAATTCCAGCAAAGAACCAAAAAACACTGGGAAATTTTCAGTATTCTCATCCAGAGTTGCAAAGGACTACTTAAAAAATAAAACCTGGAAGTGAGAAGCGTTCTTTCCCCCAAGGACTTTTTGCATACACAATCTAGAAATTTTTTTCTCCAAATATTTTTTCTGAAAAGTGTTTTGTTATATATATTTGTGTTACCTCAAACTTAAAATACTTATTAGCAACTAATGTATAAAACTCACTGTTTTACAAACTACTGGATGTATTTCATATTTGCCCCAAAATTCACATTCAACAGCATTGACTCGAAATGGTTTCAGTATCCCAGAAATTCACCTTTTTATTTCCAAGCCTATTTGACTTTTTCCCCTTTATTTAACCTTGCTGAGCTACTAAAAGAAAAATAAATGCTGACGAGAAAAAGGAAGTTGCCAATAGCTGTGAAAACAGGTCCCTTCCGGTCAAGGCACTGCCGCTGGGGATGACACAGCCAGCGGCCACACTCACCATGAAGCCCCGCAGGGTCCGGTAGTGCGGATCCAGCAGGAGGCTCGCCACGGAGCACACCTGGGCCGTCCTGTCCCAGCCGTCAGAACAGTGAACCAGCACGCTTGCCCCTTCCTCCGAAACCGCCTAAAAAACACAGGATCAGCAAAGATTCACAAAGAACGGCGAGAAAAAGGAAAAACCTCATCAGAACTAGGTTTGGTTATATACTTACAGAACAAAATAGGCAAAACAAAACAACAAATCCATTCATTGATTTACTGTTTGTGTCCCACCCAGTTAGGGGGCACAGCCGAGCAGTGGCTTGGTGCTAGTAGCTGAAGCTCTCTTCCCCGCCCATTGGATCCAGAAGCCACCGCTTAAGTCACCTCCGGTAAGTGTATGTACTAAATAAATAAGGGTATGCTTCCTGTGCAAATGTATTCTCATGACATATCCCCAGCCCACCTTCAACCCTCTTTCCTCCTCTGCGGGTTTCCAGATTAAGCCTTACTGAAATTCTGCAGTTGCTCCTGGCCCCAGCCATTTCCAAAAAGGAAAAGGCACAAAAAATTATACATTATAAAACGATGAAGTTACAGATAAAAGGATAAGTGCCAAGTAATGGACCCAGGGTGGGGAAAGGAGGAGAAAACAAAGGCCAAAATTATACCAGAAAAATCTCTACTAAGAAAAGAATTTCTATTTGCTATTGCAGATGCACACAATTTTTAGCAGAATATCTTGGCAGGCAACATAAACTGGGAAACGTGGCTGAGATTTCACCGTAGCATTTATCACTACCTCAAGTTCTATTTTTATTTATTAACTTTCTGTCTCCCACACTGGAATGTAAGTTCTGAGAGGGAAGAGATCTGACCTGGCTTATTCAGCATGGCACCCACAGCACCTGCCACTGAATAAATATTTGTTGAATGAATGATTGCCTAATGGAGGGGAACATACCGTGTCATCAGAAAAGATGTGGCTCTCTTTAGGTATAAATCTGAGAGGAACTGATTTTTTTAAAAAAACTGAACAACACAATAGACAATGGATTCGAAAACAGCCTGTGTGAAAGTTGCAGCAAGATTTTTCCTATGGCAGAATGGAATCTACCTACCAGCTACAGGAACGTGACTTCTGCATATGCTGTGACTAAAAAGAAGGACCTATTGGATGTAAGCCTCGAGCCCCTGTCACTGAAGTAACTCACGTTTGGTTGTACCCTCCTACAGAAAATCCTTTCCTCCATCCGGGATTAAGCCTAATGGATGAGAGAATCTTCTGGAAATATTTTGCCATTTGACCACTGTACTGACATAGTATCAACGGAGCACTGCACTCTCACAAAATCACATCTTCACAGGGCAAACTATACAGAGGTCTGCAAAGCCAGCTACCCATTCAGTGCAGCGCAGCTTAGTACAAGGGAACCAACGGGAGGAACAAGATGCCCAATTTGAAATCGGAGTGGCTTGCCGGTCTGCCCCTGAATTTATTTCCCACTGCAGTTCGTACCTTTGCAATGAAGATTCCTGCATCCATGATGGCCTTAATGTGCCTTAACCAGCCAGAGTTCTCCAGTCCCCACAGGAAGTCACTCATGGAGGGAGATTTAAGTTCACACACTGCAAGATAAATCACGTTATAAAAGTGAAAGTAAGGCACGCTCTCATTTTACATATGATAATATTTTACAGTTAGTATGTTAATGATTCCTCTGTTAGAGGAGATATTTTCTGGAAGAATTAAGTCAAAATAAATACCCAAGTTTTCTAAACTGGATTCTATTGAACCCTTTCAAGTAAGGCTTTTCTACCTTCTTTGGTCATGGGAGACTTTGCATCTGTCTTCAGGTATTATATCTGCAAAGTTTAAATCCTAAGATTAATGAAAATCATTGAATGTTATCACAGTAAAGGTCTGGCAGAAAACATCTATTCACCTTTCCAGTAAAGATATTAAGGAGCGTTTGAGTAAAGAGCGCTATGGAAGAAAAATCGTAAAACAAATTCTAGCACTTACTCAGAACTCTCCGTCACCCAACCACTTCAGATTAGGACTGCTGCAAAAACACAAGACAGAACTGTCCTAAAAGTCTTAATGGAAATGATCAAACTCCTCTTGCCAATAACCCACACCCGATGGGAGTAAAGTTTGTAAACTTAAGAATGAAATCTACACCTCTGATCCAATTCTAGAGCATCAGGTGAGGGGGTTTCCCATTGACTGAAAATAAAGAAAACCTAGAATCCCAATGATACCCATATTTACATAGCTAAGGCAGGTGTGTAAATGCTTCTATAATATTATCAACCATAGCTGGGTGTCTTGGCGCGTGCCTGTAGACCCAGCTACTCAGGACACTGAGACAGGAGGATCCCTTGAGCCCAGGAGTTTGAGGTTACCGTGAGCTATGATGATGCCACACTGCACTCTACCCAGGGTGACAGAGGGAGCCTCTGTCTCAAAAAAAAAAAAA